TTGTTTGCGTACTGAAGAATTATAAATTTTTAGCACCAAATTAATGTCGATACAGACCATTCAGAGATATATAAATGGCGTCATCTATGATGTTATTAACGAAGTAATAGAACTAGAAATCTTGTTTTCATTTATTTAAATCAAACTGTCCAATAACTGCAAGGTGTCCGGTAACTGGATATTTTCCCTTAGATGGTATACAGAGTTTGACTGAAGTTTATTATCCGGTGCACCTTACCAACGGTTTAAGATTCATATTCATAATTACATAATTATTCGATGGAAATTTCCAAAACATCTATTTATCTATTTTTCATGTTCCTAATATACTAAACAAATACCTTCGTTCCTATCTTCTTGTATTATTAGTACCATAAGATCCCAAAGAAACATCAACAGAATCAGTGTTATAATGTTCGCTAATAATATTGAAAGTGGTTGTTGTCTTTAAATTAACATTTAGAAGGAATAATATCTGCAATGATTAATAGATATCTAATACCTCATTAAACATCTAGTATATATATTATTTAAGACTATCTGAAAATTATACTGAAGTTTACAGAGCAAATGATTTTCTCATTGTCTCATTAAAACGAAAACAAAATAACTGCATAAGATCGTTAAGGTGAACTGGTTTTCTCATTAAATATGTAATATATATTCTTCTCAGGATCCAGGATAGCAAATCGGTAATTGTCCTATTTTCTTTTCTCTTTCATTTCTCAATCTCTGACTGTGTATACCATGTTCATTTATTACAAATACATTAAGATACGTATATCGTTTATTTTTGGTAAATGTTTTTATTATTTTAATTTTGAATAAACTAACATTGGAAAATTTATTAACGACTGATTATATTTAAAAATGATTGATTATCAAGAAAAATTGATAAGAAACTCAAAAAGTGTTTATTTTAAAAACCTAATCAATATTAACAAGAACACTTCAAAAAATGTATGGAATGTCGTCAAAAATATTTTTGTAAATGACAACAAAAAAGAACTGAAAGAGATAGTTACCACTAAAAAAATCACTTGTAACACCCCTGAAACCATTTCAGAGGAATTTAATGATTTTTCTTGTTAATATTGGAAAATCGTATTCTAAAAATATTACAAAACCAAATACCACTCACTGAGATAAACCCTCAATCTCTTTTTTTGCATCCTGTAAATACTAATGAAATTTTTGACATTATCAGATCTCTTTGAAATAAAAAGTCTCCAGGATTTGATAACAAAAAAATAGAAATTTTCAAAGAAAGTGCTGATTTAATAGTACAACCAATTTGTCATATCATAAATAGAATATTTGTTTCCAGTAAAGTTCCAGATGAATTTAAAATCGCAGTTGTAACTCCTATACATAAAACAGGTGAAGTAAAAAATATAAATAATTAATAATAATAATAATAATAATAATTTATTTGCAGTATTACAGGTAAATTTGCATTAAATACATAAATTTTATCGAACAAAATAGTATAATACTACAAAAAGGGAATAGCAGACAGCATAGCTGATATTAATTGCTATCCCTAATAAAGAAAAGAAAAATATTAAAATAATAAAATACAACGAATAAAGTGTGGCACAATCGAGACAAAAATATAAATACACATTTTATAAATGTAATATTACATTTTATTATAATATCTAATGGTTGTTTTGACTAGATATTTTCTGACATCAAGAGATGTTTATACTTTTGCTTAAACATATTTGTCGAAAGATGTTTGAGTTTAGGAGGAACCAGGTTATATAGTATAAATATCATATAAGAGAATGAACCTTGAAATTTGGAGGTACGATGGAGAGGTGGAGATATATGCCCTCTAAACCTTGTATGCACATTATGCACATCACTTCGAAATGTAATTTTATTATAGAGATAAGGAGGCGACTTTAATGAAATGATCTTATGATACAATGTTACCATGTGTAAATTCCTTCTAGTTTCCATATTTAACCAGTTAGTTTCAATTAGTTTGTGACTTATCCTTTCGTATTTTTTTATACCATTGTAGCGAAGACAAGAATTTTGTACTCTTTGAATACGATTAATATCCACATAGTCAATACAAGGCCCGTAGACGACATCGCAGTAATTAAAATGACTGAGAACCATAGTATCACAAAGAAGTATTTTTATATTTTGATCTAAAACATGGCGATGCGGGTAAAGCATTTTCAAATTAGCGTAAGCCCTTTTTATACAATTATTTACATGGCTTTTAAATTTTAAGTCAGTATCAAGATGAAGTCCCAGATTTTTGGCAACATCTACACAAGCCACCAAGACACCATCAATACTCACAGATAAATGTTCTGCTAGTTTTTTTTTATTTTTTCCAAAGACGAGTATTTGTGTTTTTGCGGGATTGATAGTTAGCTGATGTCTGTTAGAAAAATTTACGATTTTTATTAATTCTGAGTTAATCAGTTCATTAGTAAGAGCAACATTAAAATCAGACAAAGAAAACCTTATTTGCGTATCATCAGCATATATATAAACTCTGCCATTGGTAAGAGCCGAACTAATATTAGTAGAGTAAATGCAAAACAAAATTGGTCCCAAAATAGAGCCCTGTGGCACACCGCAGGCAATATTTTTAATATCAGATCTACCGGCACTTGTTTCAACAAACTGTTAACGGTCGGAAAGATAGTTTTTAATAAATTCAGTTGCTTTAACCGAAAAACCAACATAGTGAAGAATACTGAACAGAAGCTGATGGTTGATTGTATCAAAGGCTTTTGTATAATCTAGAAGTATTAAGACGTTTGTATACCCTTTGTCTATATCCCTAAAGATATCATCAGTGACCTCTAATAATGCTGAAGTACAGATGTAGCCACGTCTGAAACCAGATTGGCTGATTGGTAAAATATTGTAATTGTTGATGTGAGACTCTATCTGATATTTAATTACTTTTTCCAGAACTTTTGATAACACTGATAAGATTGAAATGGGTCGTAATTCACTAAAGCTACTAATATTGTTCTTTTTAGGCAATGGGAAAACTTTTGTGACTTTCCAAAGGCCTGGAAAAAAAGATTCCTTTATACAGGAATTAACAATATTCGTAATGAAAATTAAAATATACGGACAACACATAAGGAGCATATTAATTTGCAATCCATCAATTCCTATAGCCTGCGTTTTAATTTCGTTTAAATACTTATAGATAGTATTTTAATTAACTGTTGTAAAACTTAGCAAGTTACGGAAGTTGTCTTTAAAATTATTAGTATAGAAAAGAAGTAAATCTTGGTCAGCATGGGCACAGTTACCAGTTGCCAATAAAAAGTGATTGTTTATGTCATTAGGAACATTTAGGTTTTCAGGTAACTTGGATTTTGCAGGTTTAGAATTTATATTTAAATTCTTAAGTTTTTGCCACATAATACGGCTGTTTCTACCAAATGTATCAACGCAATATTTTAGATAACCTTTCTTTTCATTACAGGCCAATCTCAGTTATAACTGTACTGGCTAAAATATTCGAAAAAGCTTTAAAAAATAGAGTATCCACATTTTTTAACGATTGTAACATCATATCAGAAACACAATTTGGATTCGGATGTTTATCAACAAATGATGCCATAGGAAATCTGAAATTTCAAAATGTTTGGAAATAAATAAACCGGTATTATGCGTTTTTCTTGATCTGGCCAAGGCCTTCGACACTGTGAGCCATACACAGATGTTGGACGCTTTGGAAGCTGCAGGTATACGTGGGGAACATTAACAATAATTTTCAGATTACTTAACAAATCAAAGACAAGTGATAAAAATAGACAAGACATTTAGCAAAGCAAAAATATTTAACTACGGTTTACCACAAGGAACTGTTTTGAGGCCAATTTTGTTTACATTGTATATTAATAAAATTCTAATATCAGCTTCTAGTGGGCAATTATTTAGTTTTGCAGACGACACCGCCGTTTTATATACCGACAGTGATTGGGACCGTCTAAAAAAGAGATTTATCTAAAGTTTTTGATTGGTTTAAACAGAAATTACTAACTGTAAATTATGAAAAAACCTTTTTTATGCCCTTTTCAATTAATTCTAGATGTCTCCCTAAATATCAGTCTTTAATTATTCAAAATAATACAGAAAAACATCATTAAAATTTAATGGCAGTTATAAATCTTTAGGAGTTACTAAGGACACTTAAGGTTAGGTTGAAAATAAAACTAAAATGCTAAGACAACTTTAATACCGTTTTAAATGTTTAAAAAATGTTTAGACCAAAAACAATTAAAAATACTGTACTATTCTTTAGTTGAATCAAGACTTCGTTTTGCTATACTGAGTTGGGGCGGTGCTGCATTTTACTACCTAATACAACTTGATATAATTCAAAAACGCATTCTAAAAATAATGTTCAATAAAATACCCATCTTAAGGTCACTTGTACAATAAAAACATAATTTTCTTTTTGAAAGTTATTTATGCGTCACAAACATTAACTATTTTATTTTTGTCCATGCACAACCACTCTTTTGGGTATCCATACTTAGTTGAACACCAGCTTCAGTTTCCGGTTGTATTATTCTTGGGCATAAGTCTTACTTGACATATAAACTGAGTGTTATCTGCAATGAGCTAATTATAAAAGTGATATTTCCCTCTATCTCAATGCAACTTGAATTCTAAAACCTTGTGACGTAGCGGTATTTATACCAATAAAAATGGTATGAAAGAAAGTCGTTAAAAATAATTATGAGCAAAATCCAGGGAAAGTTCTCAGTAAATTCTCTTTTGTTCCCCTCTTAGAAAACGTTATAACAGAAGTAGCCAAACCAGAGACGCTAATAAATGGATTCAAAGCTTGCGGACTCTGCCCATATAATCCAGATGCTATCGACTATTCAAAGTGTTTGGGAAAGCTCAATAAAGCTATTGAGGTAAGTTTAGAAATCACACTTGCTTTTCTACAGTTTTTTTTTTTTTTTTCATATTCTTTTCACCTATTTGATTTTCAGGAAAAGAATTTTGATCCCGTCAAGATGTTCATTAACTTTGTTAAAGGTGACATAATCGCTAGATTCAAATCATATGATGCCATTCTCATCAACGAAGGATTTACTCCTGCATTTTTAGCCCTCCATAGGATGTGGAGATGCTTCGGAAACCCCAGTGAAACAGAAGTGGAGAATGCTCTTACTCAAATAGATATTGAGTTTAGAAATGAATCTGAAAATCCCAATAAAAAAGAGGTGGAGAATGCTCTTACTCAAATGGATACTGAGTCGAGGAATGAACCTAAAAACCCCAATGAAAAAGAGGTGGAGAATGTTTTTACCCAAATGGATACTAAGTTGAGAAATGAACCTGAAAATCCCAATAATGATAAATCCACAGAAGAAAATGAAAATAATTCAAATTCAGAAAATGATTCGATTACGATGATCGAACCCTCAAAGAGTAAGGCGGTCCATGTGCTTGCCGATGTCATTATCAATGAACGCACCAGTTCCTTTGTTTGTGAGATAATTAAGACAGTGAGATAAGAAACTGCAAATTGAGAACTACCTGAAACTTCAAACGTGTAAAAAAATAAGAGCACTATTGATTCGATACACAAGACGTCTAGTTCTTTATCAATAGGTAGATGTATCAGACTACCTCAAAATTCCAGATAAGCCTCAGCAAAAAACAGGCGTCAAGTAGAACGGGTATCTTTTTCTATAACTTTACGACTCTACCAAGAAAATTTTACGGCTAAAAGAGCTATTAAGTTGGAGGAGGAAAATAAAAAAAATAAAAGAAAACGTATAAGGGAAGAAAAAGCTGCAACTAAAACTAATTTGAACAATAAAAGTCTATAAATTAAATGAAAATAAAATAAATGCAATCTGTTCCATTTGTAAGAAACGCTTGACCAAAAGTAAACACTGGACATGTAACTCTTTCTTACCAGAAAAACTTTCACAGTCTCTGTATTCAAAAAAAACCTCAAGGAGCATGTTCCCGATATAGATGATGACGATTTATTTATGTGTCATAATTACTATAAAGAGGAAAGTGCTAATACTACCATTAGTAAGGAGAGCTTTGATGATTTAAAAAATGAGGGAGATGGCTTCAGTGGAGAACAAAGACTTAAAATCAAGGGGCTGGTGAACTTGTCAAACAATAATAATTATTTAGAAGGCGAAAGAGAAAAACATACGACAATAACTGACGACTTGCATGATGCAAATTTGCCTGACGAAAATTTGAAAGAAAATTGTCAAAATAAAAATTAGGAAAGACCGGTTTAATTTGGTGTCTTCGGCATCGACTATTAAGGCCATTAGGAGGATATCAAATAGAAGAGGGAGACTTACCTAACTTGAAGCCACTTCAAATCCTACCTTCCTTGAGAAAATAGGATTGGAAGGGTCTTTATAGGCATTGAGACATATCCTTAGTGCATTGGCGACAGAAGGGGGCACAATAGATCTTTTAGGTCGCGGTGTATTAACACCCCATTCTCAACATAACATAAGGCTATTAGCCTCGTGTTCTGTGAAGGCTTTGTTACTGTTTCCAAGCGCCACTTTAGGAGCAGCACTGTTAATTAGAACCTAATAGTGAATGGTCGAGTGGGGAATCCTGCCAAGGCATCAGAATTAATTTTAAATAACTAAATTAAATAAAAAAATCCTGGCCAACGGTGGGATTCGAACCTGGAACCCTTGGATCCACAGGTAGAGACTCTACCACTGAGAAACCCACCCCCTAGATGTGTTTTATAGTGATAAATTAGTCGGTCATAAACTGAATGACTTAAACCCAGACGTTAAACAAAATACTGTAGCCTATGATCAAGAAGTAGACGAGGACGTTAAACAAAGTAATGAAGATGAGGAACAAGAAATAGACGACCTTTTTACTATGTATTAGAATGTCCAATTACTGAATTATGTCCAAAAACTAGAAAAATTGTTCAACAACTAAATTTTATGACATAATCGCAGTTTTTTTATTATTAAAAATTATATTTTTTCCTTCTTAAAATTATAAATATTATAATGTAAGGCGAATATATTACTGATTAAAACAAATCATCACGCATATCTCTAGGTAGAAAAATATCTTTTCAGCATGGTCTCATTTTTTTGTAAATCCAATAATTGGGTGATTTACCCTACATAAAAGTAATAAAACGCGGAAACAATACTATTAAAAATAAAAACACCCTTGAGTGTGTGCGGAAACCCTTTTGTATACCACTGATTAACATGATATAAAATAATTTATTGACGAACGAGATATTAGAATCGTGCCAAAAATGAAATATATGCCAGTAATTCTAATGGAAATCACTGTTTTCCGGATCGAACCGTTCCATTTGCATAATGAAATGAAATGATTAAAATTCTAAAATGTTAATTAAAAAATAGAACTGCTTTCGATATTTAGTTTCGATATTAAATTTATAAAATAAATGTCCTAAAACGTATTTACAGTACTTAGAATGATTCTGGATGATGCGATTTCAGCCACTTTGTTTCTCAATTGATAGGTATGATGGTTTATTTGGTTCTGACATAAGGACATAAAATTGCCAATCTCTACCCCTCTATTTTATTGATACAAATTGAAGGGAAATTGTATTATTTGGTCATTACTGACGATGTATAAAATCCCCATGCTGCTACTTGATTAATAATCGATAACCATTCATCAGGAATTTGATTATGTAAATAATAATTTTTGTTGATTTATTACTCATTCCTTGTTTGGTTTGTAAAGTTAAAATATTCTTTTAAATTTACATATAGAAAGTTGTATGTTTTCCTGTTTCGTGACATAATATAGTCAAAACAACTCTTGAAATGTAACGATATTCGATAATCATAATTAGATGCATTCTGTATCATACAAATATTTATAAATCAAACAAATAACAACTCCTGTAACTAAGTTTAGTAACTAACATTATATGAAAGAACAAAACACTGAAACTTCTAAAAAAATTTCATTTAATAAATAATAACAGCCGATCAATTTCTCTTGATCCTTAAGTTATAGAGATAAGAAGAAATGAATATTGCTCGCATTTATTTATAGGGTCAATAGTTAAAAAAAGTCAGGATAACGGTATCTTGACTTATGATTAATATGTAAGTACCTACCACATTAAAGAGAATGCTTCTATCGCCCAAATAGCACGGTCAACATATTATTTTGTTTATCGGATGATGGCCAACAAAGCTGCTTTGAAAAAGGATGTAATCAGATGGGAAATGATAAAGTGCTACATAAGGAGATGGTCATAAATAAAATAAATTTGATATGCTTATTTATATAATGATGAAAATTGGTTTTATAAAAATGGGAACGGATGTAAGGCACTGTTTTAAAAATATGTTTGTTTTTGATTATTTATATTAAGTGATGTTGCCACTATATTAACTAGATCTAGGAATATATGCACCCAAAAAGTAGTTAAATATGCGCATATATATGCCGCAAAATACTTCAATATATGCGTAAAAAATTGAAAAATATGCAGAGCATATGCAATAAGAGTAATTTGTTATTTGATCGAAATAGTTTATTAATATTTATTATTTGTTTTATTTTATAATACCTAATATAATACTTAATAATTATTTAATTATTAACTAATTTTATTTACAAATCAACATTATTATAAAACGAATGAACTATTAGATTTTTTTCTAAATTATCTGTATTAAATGATTGTCTCCTATCAGTATGTACTTGTACAAAGAAAAACTCCTTTTGACATCTACAGAAGTAATAGGTGCAAACTTAAATTTTCCTGAAATATCTAGATAAATAGTATTAATATCTTAAAAGTTACCAGAATAAATATTAGCAAGGTTTCTTAAAACAATAAATCCTTCATTTTATTAAAATTACAATTGAAAATTTATGAAAAATCGTCTTTCCAATATCGCCCTAGACATTTTTACACTCTGAGTCAAACGTCTTAATTAAATTTACGGAAGTCACCGAAGGTAAATTTTTTTGTTCTAAATCTAATATAATTTTGGGTACAAATGCATAATATTTTAAAAACACTAATTGCTTTGGTAATATGTGATTTTGAAACAACTTCTTTGTATTAGATATTCCCTTAGATGAATCATCAAAATCAAATATGATTTCTTTAATTTTTTCATAATTTTCTGCGTAAAAAAGGCAGCTTTAAGCCAGGTACCCCACCGAGTAATCACAGGTTCCGGTGACATCTGTAATTGAGGAAATTTTTCTTTGTACAATTGAGTTCTTAGAGGAGCTTTAAGAAATATTTTTTTTACATTACTAATTAAATCATTTATTAAAGGAAAGTTAGACCTAATTTCTTCTGCAACTCTGTTAAGGCCATGAGCCAAACATGTAACATGGATTACGTTTTCATAAAACATTTTTAAATTTTGTGCGGCTTTTACCATGTACGGGGCAGCATCGGATAACAGCAATAAACATTTTTCTGTTGGAACGGTTTCCGGAAGAAAAAAGAAAGACAATTCTGTCTGGATAAAACGAGTTATTGTCAAGTTATTTGTTTTATCTAATTGCTTTGAAGCGATTAGATATGGACCAATTTGCATTTCTTCGCGGAATGAACCTATCATTAAATGGGCTATATATTGACCACAAGAGTCTGTTGTTTCATCCACAATAATGTAGAAATGGTTTCCAACGGTAATCTCATGAATTTTTTCACGAGTATTAATGTACAAACTGTCAACACCACGTTTGCGTAATATACTTTGCTCTGGAATATTAAATTTACAGTATTTTTGCAAAAATGATCGGAGATTTGGATTATTTAATCGTTTTAAAGGGATATTCGAGGTCACTAAAGCTTTGCATAAATCTTCATTAAAAATAGCTTGTTCACTTTTAGACGATCCAGATTCTAAATACTGTTTCAAGGGAAGTTGACTTTGTCTGCGAGTGTCTTTAGATTTCTGCCTTGCTATATGTGAGGGTGTTTTTTTGCGTGTTGGTCGATTTGAAACTTTTTTTACATGGAATCTAAAACAAATAAATTCCTGTAGATGTTGAAGTTTTAATTTAATTAAATAAATGCGTACGTTGTAAAGTTGCCCTACTTTTTTTTTAACTGTGAGTTGAAATAATATTTTACTGTCGTTTGATTTACCATTGTGAAAGGTCAAAATAAAATATAAAATAAAAAAGTACTTACAATTTTAGAACATGTTTTACAAAACACCTGGTTATCACCTTCTACAACAAAATCTGAATAAGATTTTACCCACGGCTCAATTAATTTTGCCATTTTTCCTACTGGTTAACATAACACAACAATAAAAATTGAAATGAAGTTGAAAGTAAACTGAGTCATTAAGAAATTTGAAGATATTAATACAACTACCTGAAAGGATATTTAGCAAAATTTTTTGGTTTAAATAAAACAATTATTATATAAAAGTGTAAAAGGAAATTTATTTCCCTATTTTTTTCTGTAATATCTTTAATTATTATGTTTAATTTCTATAAATAAACCAACTGGTTAGGTGAAACATTGTGACATAAGATTTTATTTATGTGTCCTATGCGTACACTTTAATATACAAAACACATGGAACATTCTTTAAATAATTGTGGTCGTAGAAATAATTGTACATAACTCGTTTGAAAGTGTATTTTATGCACTTGCTAAATATATTATCCATACAGATTAATTAGACTATTTTTTTACTTAACTTCAGTACATCTCTTACTACTAAAACTATTTTTATCAATGGCAAAAAAGGGCCGTGTTCTCGTATGTTTTGACGCATTTTCGGCCTCAGCCCGTCGGATCCCCCCTCTAAATATATATGAATTTTGCTTAGAATTGCTAATCCTACAATTCTCTATTCGTGCTTGCTGACTGGGAAAATAAATACCGAAAATCGTCACTGTCTCCTGGACTATACAATAGATGATGATGAGAACTTCACAACAAATACACTTTTATGAATGGCTAGTTGGGGATGTGGGTTTATCGTACTCCTGTTCGCGATGTAGAGGACTTAAGAAACCGCATCATCGATGCCTGCAGGGTAATTAGAGAGACTCCAGGATTATTTGAGCGAATACGTGGCTCAATCACCGACGTCTAGACGCATGCGTAATGTCTAAAGGTAGACATATTGAACACTTACTATGATTTCTACATGTATGTTTTGTTATTAATAAATTAGTTTTGATTATTCCCCTTTTTAATTATTTAATGCAGGTAGTAACTACAAAATAACAATAAATCCAGTTCGCATTTATGACGATGTATCTCTGTATTTGTTCGTAAAATAATTTTTTGGCGAATTGGTTTATTTCGGGCAAAAAATTCAAGAGACATTTTTGTTTAGAATGAAACAGGCTATCGGAAATAAAATTTTAAATGGTAAACAAATAATTAAACAAAAAGTTACGTTGGAACGAAATTTTACGGGTTGCGTTTTCCACCCCTTACAACCATAAGGTAAATTAAATAAATTACTGGCTAAGTGTCTTTTTGGTAGTAGAAAATGATAGGTTAATTTCAATATTGTAACTTGTTTAGTGCTTCTGAAAAAAATTGTTAAACAAATTCTATGTACCCACTTTAAGGGGCTGTATCTTAACAAGGGATGCTCCAATGAAGTTTCTTTATAATAATAATAATAATAATAATAATAATCGTCTTTATTTCCATTAATTTAAAGTAAATACAATAAAATAATACATATATACACGGGCGAAGTTTATTTTTGGTTGTGCACTAGACACAACAAAAAATATTCTTCCACTTAATCCTATCTTTTTTTCGATGAGGAATCACCCCCTTAAATGTTTTACACTTATTTAGTTACACCCTGTATTTTATCGTTTTTAAAGCAGGATTTGGCACTCATAGATGGCATCTTTTCTTTGTA